GACGGAACTGGCAAAGAACAAGGCACCAGGCATTGATGGAATAAAAACTGAAATCTTTCAAGAAAGTGAGGCAGCACAGGAGGCACTCACTCATCTCTGCCAAGAAATTTGGAAGACAACTATCTGGCTGACTGAGGTCAAGGCCAAGGACTGTCTCCTTAGTAGAAAGAAAGAACTCTTCAGCAAGTTTAACAGTCTCCTTGGCTACTAAAGGTCCACTTCTTCTGTAGATTGCTATCAAATAACTAGCACCAATGCCTAAATTTTTTTGTTTGGATTGTTTTATGCCCTCAAGTATAGATTCCACGTAAGTCTTTTTAGTCATTCCAGTGGCATTTTCTCTTCTGGGTGTGCTCCTCAGTTCCAGGTACTTGACACCATCATCTGAAAATTCTTTAATGACATCTTTTGTAACCATTAAAATGTCTTCAGAGCTAGTAGTGAGCTGATGAATAAGTTGAAATATCTGGAAACAGTCTACTAACGTTCTTTTCTTTCCTTTGTCAATCACAATCATTTGATCATATAATTTAAGGTCTGGCTTCTTGGCTATTAATTTCCTCATGGTTTTAGAACTAATGGATCCATTCAAGTGAACATGAAGCTCCACTTTTGGTAATTCCAAGTAAAATGTCTTCTTCCACACTTGTTGCTGTTCTTCAATTTCCATTGTGATTTTGCAGGAAAACAAAAGTCCTTCTCTATTGGCACTGTCTGTGAAATGTGAATTTTTTATCTTTAAAAACTAGAAATATATATCAAGACTATTTTAGATTAAAACAAACAAACAAATAAACAAATGTATTTTTGAACTATTAAAAATATGCTAAAGATGAACATAGCAGTTGAGACAAATGGATCTGGTTGTGTCAGTTTTGATGCTTTCTTCTTTTTGGATGTGCCCATTTATCACAATAAAATGTCCTTTCAGCAGTGCTTTTGCCGTGTCCCAAAGATTTTGGTATGTTGTGCTTTTGTTCTCTTTTGTTTCTAGGAACTTTCTGTATTCACGTTTAATTTCTTCTATTATCCAGTCGTTCTTCAGCAGGGTGTTATTCAGTCTCCATGTATTAAGCATTATTTCCTTCGTCTTCTTATTGTTGATTTCTAATTTTATGGCATTATGATCTGAAAAGATGCTTTGTAGTATTTTGACGTTTGTAAATTTATGGAGGCTTGATTTGGGACCTAACACATGGTCAATTCTGGAGAATGTTCCATGTGCACTTCAAAAGAATGTATATTGTGCTGTTGTTGGATTGAATGCTCTGTATACGTCTGTGAGGTCAAGTTGGTTGATTGTGCTGTTTCGTTCCTCTGTAGCTTTGTTGAGTTTCTTTCTGGTTGTTCTATTCCTTTTCGAAAGTAGTGTATTAA